CGCGTTGAATGATAACTTACTGGCTCCGGCAAGGCTCCAGACATATGTTCTGGTACAAAAGACAATTATGCCTATCACAAGGCATCGCTTGTGCTGTCAAAATAACACAAGAACAATTCCCATTTTTTCTTTTTTTTGATGTTTATTATAAAACTAGCACAATATTGAAATGTAGAAATAGACTAATAAGATTTTGAATGTTTATTTTCTCACCACTAATGAAAAGAAATGAAAAGTTACGATTGTGGAGACATTTTCAAATCATTTCAATGATATTCAATGAAAACAGGTTTTATATAGACTGAAGAATATCAATTTTATGCATTTTACTAGCAAACTGTGGCAATATATAGTGATTTTTAGACGGTTCTGTTTTATCTTATCTAAGCTTCTAAGTGACATTTCAATGCAAGAGTATACTTTTAACAAATTTTGATGTCAGTAAGCAATAAACAATACTGTTCAAAACGTGAAATAATGAAATGGCGACTGAATGTTAATTTGTCAGTATTTGTATTGATTTGAGGTAATCAATATATTAAAAAAAAAACAAAGAAAATACCAACATGTCAACAGGATCTTCAATTTAACTAATACTCAATAAAACTAGGAGGGAAAATATCTACATGGATACCTCTGAAACCGTGCTAGAAGAATATGACCAGGTGTTCCAGAAGGAAGAGGGTTTAGTTGTTATAGTGATAATATTTTATTATATATTTTATAGAATTGATTGATACTGTTAACTTCATCGACTGAGCCAACAGTGGTGATTTTGTTTTCAAAACACTTTTTAAGATTTTATTTAATGAAGGTATGTACACATGAGTGTTATTACACTTGTGATAAGACCAGGTTTCCCGGAAGGATGAGGAAATTCTGCTTCACAGACGACGCCGGTCAATTGGTCAATTCAAGTAAGTAAGGTTACATTTTGTAAAAAACATACTGAACACGCATACTTACCAGCATAAAATACGTCAAGCTCCATAACACTCAAGGAAATATTTCTGTTATTATTCTCCTCGTGCCTTTTCAAGAGTCTCCGTGTAAATCTTTGTTCCTGTTTTCCCCTAGTTTTTATGGAATTTGGGTTGGATTATGATTATGTTGCAATGCTGATATTTTCTTGATGTACGTGTGCCATACCTTGTGTAAGGGTTATCTCTCTTATGTCCACAGCGATAGATGTAATGGTTTGAACTGATGGTGAGCAAAACATAATATACACATATATATCAAATGCCACTTAGCCGTTTTGGAGGGAACGACCTCAATAAGAAATGGAGAACCGTATCGTCTGAAGAATCACTAGATATTTATAATGGTAAATGTTCAGGTACCATACGTTAATAACAAAGGGAGAAAATATAGGAGTTCCTGAAAGAGCACTGAGGGAATGGTGTACATAGTGTAACTCATGGACTCATTTAAAGTGCGATACTTAAATAACACACCTGTGATAGCATAAATGCCAACTTCTATCAAACATCGCTGTCTTTAATGCTAACTCGATCAAAGCTGAATTTTAAGCAAGTATCAGTAAGAAACTATATTATATTTCATCTGACAAGTTTGTCGGTGAGGTGAGCGGAACCTCATTTCTAAGGCTATTGAAGTCGAAGTCTCGCTGCGTTGTGTGAGGTGTGAGGGACCAGTTTAAAGCGTTATTTCTCTAAAATGTCTTTCGGCAGCTGAATTGGTGTGATATCTTGTAAGGTGCTGTTCACTTGTGTGTCTTTTGTATAATCTTATCGTAAAATACTGAGCGTCCGGCAGGTAGCTTCAGGTACCAATTCCGAGGAACAGAACCTATAACTCTTTCCCACTTTTAAAACCAGAATCAGTAACAGATTATAAAAAAAGAATTGATTTATACAAAATTAAAATAATGTTTTGCATTAGCAAGTCTACGTTTGCAATCTTAACTGTAGTACAAAGTACGTATTATAATTACAGTGTAACTAGTGATAGCCACACAATGAGATATGATATACAAGGCGGTTCGAATTGAAATGTGTTAACTAATAAGCTACAGTTTTACCGTATTGTATGTATACATTCTATGTGAAATTTACCTGTAACAGATTATTTACAAAACATACAAAAATATTGTTTCTGCATTTATTTTATGTAAGAATTAATGTTTTACATAAAGTAAAGAAAAGGTATTTAAAAGGATATTCCACACAAGTAAGGATTTTATAGGATAGTTTTGAAGAAAGTTGTAAAAACTTATCTTCTTATGTTCTAATTGAAATCGTACATCTCAATCTTCAAATTTCAATAAACATATGATGTTTAATTTGAGGAAATTCTTTATAGATCTAGTCCTGAATGCGTTTGACACGTTAGCGTTGTTATTACCTGAACAGAATGAAATATTTGTGTACCTTATAAAATTCACAGAAAATGAGTCAAATTAACCCCAGCAGAATTTTTAGCGAACAGCATACATTCTCGAATATTTACATAATTCAGTTAACCAATGATCCTTCAGTTCCGGATTTCCTGATACGCTTTTTTTTTTTTTTGTTGGTTGTGGTTTTCCCACTCATTTCGCCTGTCCAAACTGACAACTGGAGAGCTATTTTTTTAATTTAATGAGTTCATGAAAGGGATATATAACCCAGAAAATTTTCAACCTGGGCGGAATATCCCTTTAAGCTATTATGAGGACATGATGTACTCCGTATAATTCTGGTGGCAAATCTGGTATTAAGTTAGCTTCTAAAATTTGATTAAAAGTGACTGAATCGTCTGATCATCAAAACAATTTCGATCAACCACAGGGATCTGAATTAAGTCCTCTACATTTTTCTTTGGAATATTCTCATACCTAGCACCTGAAGGTAGACCGTAATATTTCTTTGGATTTCGAATCTCAGTTTCTTCTCTCCTGCCAAAAAAGACTTCTTCTCTTTTTATGGCTTACTTAACAGTACTTCGGTTTTGTTTCTTTGTTTTAAACATTCGCAATAGCGAGTAAGGTAACTAACTGGTTCTGTTCCCTGACAAATACTAACAACCTATATCTAGAGGTTTACGGTCGTCGCCAAGATATCATTTGAAAATAGTTGGACGAGTCTGATGCTTGTTATCCTCCAATGTCGCTACGGTGCTGTTAACATTGTTCTCGCTTGAAAACATGACATTACTTACTTTGAGTGACCGAAATTAACATGTTGTCAACGCTTTAAGTAACTTTACGCTCAGTCTTGTACTTTTTCATGAGTCTCCGTATAAATTTTTCATTTGTTCAGATTTTGCCTTAGGTTCATCGCAAGATTCTGTTGACATCTATCAGTATTTTCTTTGCTGTTTATCCTTGAATTTACACCAATTTCGCCGCATTTTTGGACGATAATGACTTTGTCCTTGCTTCAAAATTAAACTAATGTTTTGCAATATAAAACTAATTACGTCACTCTTCCACAAACAAGCGTATTTTGTAAAGTCCTAAATGGACAACAATATGATTTTCTATGACTAGAAAAGTCTTGCCACCAACAAACCTTCACAGTATGGATTTTTCATCAGCCAGCTTTGGGCATTTCATGTGTGCAACATGACTTTCCATTAGTAACATAGATGGTACAGCTGAATAAAGTATTTGTACGTTACAAAAAAGTATCATTGATATTCAAGCATCACCAATAAAATAGTTTTCACTGATGAAATTTAATCGCCTCTTACAATCATATAGTGGACAACAGACACAATTATCGCGCTTTACCTGCAGGACAGTTACAAAATCTTTCTCAATACTTGCTCAAAATAGAAGTAGTTGATTTCTTTTTTCGAAGTTGATTGCAAATATATTTTTACCTGCAAACAATTTGAGCATATTTAATACTGCCAGTCTTGGATGTAATGGTTATTTAATCACTTTTATTCAAATTTCGGAAGAGTGTAAAACATAGCCACATGTATGTTTATTTTATTTAAACATTTCTAACTCCTCCCGGTTGACTATAAGGAATGGGCGTGAAATAGTTTTTTTCCCAGTCGATCGCCCGATAGGTGGCATACCTGTGTTGGCAAGACATGCACGTGCAGCCGGTGTGTTGACAACTTCTTTCAGGATAACGCACTGGCTAGGACGGTCATTTTCCTTTCCCTCCCCTTTTCTCTTTGTAGATTGGAATGACAATTTATGCAAGGATTGTTTCTGATTTAAATAATTTTATATTTAGAAACTTGTTACCAGTTTATTACATGTGTTAACTGACAATTAACTAGAACCCTCAGCCTTATTGACTAGAATGCACTATGTACACGTAATTTCCTCCTCGTCTCTAAATCGGCTATTATAATCTCAACACTAATCCACAAGTTTTGTAAACAAAGATACTATCATGTAATTATTTAGATGAATAGATGATCCTGCGTTTTTGTGAGACAAATAGATACTATTCCAATTCGTGCTCACGTGCTTTCTTTATACCTTACATTTTTAAAAAAATGAGTTTTATGGCTGTTTTACACACAGGTGCTCAGTTTAGGTATTCTGAGTGATGTATACGACATCAGTTAATAACCACAACACAATAACTCCAGCCCCTGTGTCCCCGCCCTCTTCAACTGTAGCGAAACACTTCTGGTGACCAAAGATTTTTTGTATTATGATATGTAAATAATTTGGTCTGGATAAATGTTTTCTTAGCTTTTAAAGTTCGTGTATAATAGGCAAGAAAGCAAGAAAAAATACTAACCAAATACAACTATTGTGATGTTGTTTTATTACAAAACGACAGATAAATAAATACGAAGGAATGATAAATCTAAATGTGACAATGATATTTACATACAACAGAATAATTTTCATATATGCTTATTTACGAAATACAACATGGTATGTATAACATTAATCAACTTGGAAAAACATAAATTAATCAATGAAATTGGACAGTTGTGGAATGTAATCTTTTAAAGCACTCCGAGTGATTTCTGGCTGTGCTTCGGTGTGGATTTCTTGTCATGGAATTCGGAATGAACGTTCATAGATAGTAACCACAGCGCGATATTAAAACTAAAACGGAAAATCTCATGAAAACACGATAAGAATTGACCATAGTTCTCCTGGCAGATACCCATGATCTGAAGTTTCATCGACCTTGTTGAAGGTCGGGAAGAGTGTCGCCAATCTAACATGTTAGATGCTACATTGACCGTTCTTGACAAAAGTCTGTTGTGCTGTCTTTTTGTCCATTGGACACGTGCCAGTTTCCATTGTACGTTCTGATCGGCATACCATAAATTCGGGTGATCCGACTTTGGAAGCGTGAGGATGAATCCCATCGGGAAGACCCTGACAACTTGGATAGGCAAGGTCACACGGATAGCAGTGGGCAATCGGACATTTGTTAGAGATATATTCACCTGCAAGAATGAAGACATCATATTTTAGTAGGTTATAACTAGACGTGTCGTGGTGACAGGAAGGAAGAAACTATTCAGTATGGTCAGGTTTGTTATAACTAATGACTCATGAAATAGAATTGAAGTCCAGTGTTTAGAATATATGGTAGAGAATCTGAAATGAAATATTATAGAAGTCCTGTCTGCCGATTTTTATTTTTACCCCCACCCCTTCCCCTGAATTTAGGCAAAGCTCAATAATTATGGTCTTAAAGTTCTCGTTAAAAATCAAAATTCTTCAGACTTAAAATTACCATAATTCTGGCAAAAAAGCTTTTGTATAACAAAATCAAAACTTTATCTCTTTCATTATACAACACCATGCCGTGTTACAGCAAACGAACTGAAACGCAATTATGACGAAATGAATGCCAAGGGAAAGGATTGGACACAAGAAAAATGGATTTTTTGATAAAGCGCACTATCTTTTGAATGTTGAGATTTTTGATAACATAAAAGGTATAGATTTTAGCATCAAACTGTGTGATACTTACATGCGGATTTGTGTTCTGTGCGTATCCCACAAGTGACGTCATCAAACACCTGGCAGGAATGTGTCTGAGTGGAGAAGAACTGTGGGTAGGGACATTCGAGGAGGTGCTGCTCAAAATAGCGTGGGACAGTATGATAGGTGTGGCTGCAGTTGTAGTAAAGCTGGCATTCCGTGGGGTGGGGGATCAGCATAGAAGGGTCAGCAGAACAAAGCTGTGTTATGGGCAAACTTTGGATGGCTGTTACAGAGAAACGCAAATATACATGTTGATGGTATATCTAAGGTAAATATTGTAATATTAATGAAATATCATTAAGTTTTTTTTGTAATGTATTTCGGTACTTACAAGACACTATACACTAATGAATTGTTTTACCATATAGATCACCAAACATCACAGGTAATTGACAATAATAAAATACAAATCTTTCTTGATAGTTGTTTTGTTGCTCAACTTCGTCTGTAACTTATTCAAAAAATAAGCAACGGTAGAGTGTACGATAGCTTTAGAACAACAGACAACGTATGGATTGGTGTATGAATTTATTTATCTAATGTCTGCTACTCTAGTGTAGGAGAAGATGATTCAACGCCCACACCAACTTGTTTACTCGTGGTCTGGATTGTGGTGGGGTTTTACACTCACCTGTCTCACATGTAGCCCCCGTGTGAGTTGGTGGACAGGTACAGAAGAAACCCTTGTCGTCCCCAAGTCCAGTACACGTAGCGCCATTCTTACACGGCTTGTTTTCACAAGCGTCATCTTTGCCGGTTTCGACTACAAGGAGAAAACATTACGAGGATAATTCAAACATATTGGCAGTTATACGCACATAAATCAAATATACGTTCATCACAAGTGTATACTTAAAATGTAATAAAAAAAAAACTAAACACACTCATAGCAATTCTCATCATTTTCTCTCCAATCGAGACTAGAGTGTCCCTTATGATATCAATATATATTTGATATACTACTGCCACCTTCTCATCCTTCCGCCTCTTATATTGATTAGTATAATTAAGTTTGATATTGTGACTGTCTTCAAAATTTCAAGTTCACAATATAATTTTATAACTGACAACAGTTGACGTCTTAGCGTCAATCACGAATCCCTTATACGTGAAGTCACACGTGAAGCGTTAATTATGGAATCCCTACATGTTAAGTCACACGTGTAGCGTTAATTATGGAATCCCTATACGTAAAGTCACACGTGTAGCGTTAATCACGGAATCCCTATGCTTAAAGTCACACTATTAGTACACGAAGTCCTTGTGATTTACACTACTTTTTTAAGTTGTAATTTCCTAAACAACGTTACATTTATCGACAGTAATGAGCAATTTCTTCTGAATTTACATGTGTTAACATGCTCGTTACTATACCAGATTTTTTTTGTCCTTGTTTCAGCGATTTTTATTTTGAATTTACTTCAGGATTTTATGAACGTATCTTGCTGCTATGATATAAGATATAGTTTATATTTATGAGCCCCCTTGTTTCCTGCTAGGAGACATGATTGATTTTCTCTGATCCTTGGTGAACTTTATACCTGTTGTCTTTATACACGTAAACATTCAATTTTACTGTACGAACTAGATCTTGAATAAAACGATTTCTCATATCAGACTCAATTGATTCCCCTTAAATCTAAGGAAAACCATTTTAAAATGTATCCGATTCCATCATTTATCATATAGATAGCCTTACCTGTATGAGTTCCCTTGCAGTCGTCATATTTGCTTTTTTCAGGTACGCAGACCCGGTACGTCCGGCTGAACACCAGACCGGACAGACATGGTGGCATTTCCATGGGTCTTCCCCAAATACACTGGTACAACGTGCGACAGTCAGGGGACAAAACGGCATCAAATGAATTGCGACATTTGGGTTCGAATCCCTGCGCTGCTGAAATCGCTACTGCTAGTACAACAATGAATTTCATGATTCAGTGTAGTTTTCTGTAAATATGTTGTTGACTTCTTCTTTGCAATCTTCAGACCTTACCACCGACTTAAGTTTGACTATAATTATCAATGTTTCATTATTGCTTATATAAGGTGCATGTTGTACCTGCTGTGACGTAACACCGGATATGTACACCACGTGACCAGCCCACGAAAGCCCACTCAACAAATCAGCACTTGTTTGACTGACAACCACATGTTTTATTACCACACAAATTAGTGATGAATCAATACATAACAAATGTCGTCAACACCTTTGTTATAACTGAAATCGGAAATAAATAAAATGTTAAAGTAAATTCATACTTAATAAGACTGAGAAAATTAGTAAACAAATATCACTTTGTTTTACTGGGGAACACCTTTTTACCATAGATTAAGAAAACAAAACGAAATACAATACATAAATACATAAATAGATAAATATATACATAAGTAAAGTTTGTGTACCCGTGGGATGACCAGTATCTTAAAAAAATAATACCAAACTGATTTTTTTTTTAGAAAATAACAATGTATTCGATAAGAAAAATATAGGCGTTTAATGTCAATTTACAAGGACAAAACTGTACTTGGTGTGCACGGGGAAAATGTCACAGTATTTGAATTTATACATCTTTTATTGACGATATCAGTATTTGCTTTTTCATTACTTTAGAGTAATATCATAGTCAAGTTTCTAAAATACAAAACAAACCAAGATACTGACAAAATATTATAATCAGAAGCACAATTAAAGCATTAAGAATATTTTTAATTATTATGACTAATTTGGTGTATTGTAATATAAAAATTGAACAGGTGTATATTACGGAACTAATACGAATGTGTAAGCGTCTCCTACACGACCCTGCTGTATGCATAATGAAGTAGCATTGACTCATAGACTAGTTAACACAGGGTAATTAACCAGCCAGGTGTATACTTGTACAACAACGAATGGTTAAATTTAGAAATGCGGTTTGAAGTTGGAATGCCTATTTATAAAAATACTACCGCAATCGGCGTGATGCAGCATTACAAGATGCTAGGTACAAAGTCCATTATTGTCTGTTGATATAACATATCGCGTCACTCCCGCCCGCCTGGGAACCCCAGAATGCACTCTACTGGCCATCTCATTTCGGGCGAACCTTGTTTCTCAATTAAGGGCGTATTCAAAAAGCAGTCTAGTCGCTAATTATCTAACGATTAAATTTACATCTACCTTGTGTCGTTTCTAAAACTTCATTTTGATCCTTTGATAAACTCTTAATGGGTGGTAGACATGTTTTTTTTAAATTATTTTACCAATGTACAAGATCACTAAGGATATATCCTACCTTTTCCCCTCAGAATAGTACAGTATGACTATTTTAGAAAGATAATTTGTTGCTAAAACCTTACATCGCCGTATTTAAAGGCTGTGGAATGTTTTGTTGTACCTTGCTCGTCGGCGATTTGATATGCTGGGGTAAGTTTACAACCATTTTTCAAGCAAAGTGACAATTTTTGAAATGATGATTTTGAGGTTTTTGAATCGGGAAGTATGGAGCTGACCGCACCAGCAATATGTCACACATTTTTCAATCAGGACTGCATTAATTAACGTGTCCAGGCACAGGGAAATACATGTACTCATCCACTATTAACTATAACTATTTCTCCAATGACAAGGTCAGTCAACTCTCCAGTCACAAACGTGTTAAACTGACACGTACGCATGTGTAACATGTAGTTTAAGATTTTTTATATAAAAAGATAGTTTGCATTAGCAGTTCTGTGTACAAGCGAGCCCAGATTAAAGTGAGGGGGTTTATGTTTATACAATGCTATATCAACTAATAAATCAATAAAATGAAACAAACAAATGTATCGACGAGGAATGTCGTAAAAAGTGAATATCTTTCTGACGCAACACACTATATACCATATGCTATGCTTAACAACCGTGTTTGTTTTGCTGCATGCAAGGCGACACCATACAAATGTGTACCACTCTAGGTGCTAAATTCTGTTAGGCGATGTCCCTACCATTCTATGGAAATTGGGTACATTCCCTACACATTTTAACATGTTTGATAAAACGGCCATTCTAGATCGTTCCTACGACACACCATTTGAGCATTAATTTTTAAATTTGATATTTTGACGTCTTTCGAACACACATAGGTGTGTAAAAAGGAGTTTCATTATGTAGGATAAATTTTCATTATCAATGTACTTGACAACCGTATATTAATTTGCATAAGTACACACATAATCTGACATCAAACCGGGTTGACCATAGTGGCCGAAGTGACGCGTACGGCCAGCGCTTGTTTAGTGACAGTGGTAGTGACGTCACATATGTACCTTTCATGATGTCGAGTGGCAATAACCGGACTTTGGACCAAATAGGCCGGTCATTTGATTTGTTTGGTTGGTTGACAGTTTTTTCCGTCTCCGCGACTCCTCTCGTATCCGGGTATCGTCTCACCGACGAACGTCAGTGTTCTGGCAAGGTGAGGGGGCGACCTGCATCCCCTTCAGTTTGATGGAACCGTCTGTAGCGGTGATGGTTTCAATATATCGGTTTTAGAAGACGGCTCCAGATCCTAATAGTGCCTTAACCTAACTCCAGCAGTTGGAAAATGTCCTGAAGCTGAAAGGAGGAGCTGGGGGCCTATCTAGATTTGGCTTATATTAGGTAATTTTGAAGTCCGCCAAATGCCTTAAAAATAATTGTACAGTCTGACAATTTCCTTAGACCCCTGGACATCGGCGTTGTCACACCTACTTTTTTTTTTTTACAAAAAGTCACAGGGGGGCCTTTAGCGTGCGAGAGTGGACAATTCTCACATGACCACCGTTTAAAGTCACATCCGCCGGACTATAGTTAGTGGTTATTAGTTAGTTCGGTGCAGGTGAAGTTTTTATTTACACTTGTTATTTATTTGTTGTCCCGTCTTAAAAACCTTTCCAATTATATCGTCTAAGTTTACTTTATCAAATGTCTATTGCTTTCTGTGCTTTCAGTTTTTGAAGAGATAGAGAGATTTCTTGTGCAAGCACGGGTAGGATGGTTGGATTATGTTTTAGGCTATGTGTTTAGTAGGAGTAACTTGTAAATTCTAATGTATAATTACTAGGTATATAAGGTGAGAGATGGGTATGGGAGGGGATGGGGTAGGATTGGGGTCTGGTATAGTGTTTATTTGGTTTGTATTTTTGAGTGTTGTGTTGTATGTATGGTTGTGTGTTGAGCTTAATTGTGTGAGGTTCTGGATTTCGAATTTTTGACCCTGTAGCCAGTGTTGAATAAACAGTTCTGTATAACAATTATCGAGAACTGTTTGTCACTATTGTCCCACCTGAAAAAGTTCCATATGCTTCAAGCCAAGGTAGAAGGCAAGAATCCGACTGCAAACCAGTCCATAATCGTTGTACCACGAGGTTCTCTTTATGTTTAATCTATACTGGACGTAGGACCTTAAATGTGGAGTTTTTTTGTGCATTTTTTTCTTCCTATTTAGTCTTTTTTTTTATAACAAATATTTGAAAGCGCGTATTTCCTTGTGTGTTGTTTTATTTATAAATACGGTTTCAGATTATTTTACAAATGTGAATGCTGGGTTGGGGCAGAGAAGAGGACACCACATGCCTCATGAAGTGTAAGTATGCACCAGTGAATGAGAGGGTCAGTAGTAATTCTCTCTGGTGCAGTCCCCCTGGGTATCCTCGGGATTCTACCTGTAGTGTATAGCGTTGTGTAGGTTTCTGATGTTTGGGAGTTGTCTCCCTTCGACCTTTCTGGTTACCTTTTATATTTTATCAAGGTAGTCAACCTCTCTTAGGACTTCGACGGGCTGTCTATGAACTAGTCTTTCATTTTCACGTGACATTAAAACCTGACTGATGGATGTGTAGTGGATTTTCATTCTTTTGAATGCGACAATGAGATTGTTTCGTTCCTGATCGAATCTATTAAAAAACCTTAAAATTAATGCAATTGCGTCGGATTGTGATATTCTGAAACGGCATCGAATATATTTCCAAATCTGTAATTACATGTAGGGTTCTACTGCCATTTTGTTGAGAGCAACTAGGATGATTACTACAAACATACGTACAAATTCACACCATATGGAATTTACTGCATCACTCAAATGAGAGTTGAGTTTTTTTAAACACACAAAAAAATCACAGTGAGTATCAAAAGATATTTCTTGTTAATCAAATGAAATTAAATCTGAATCACAATGCAATTGTAAATTTGAAACATTTAATCTCAATTTGAAACTAGAAATTGTTGTTAACAATTTCTTTGGCGACAAGTTGACCGGAAGTTGACATTTATCCTGATAACAATATATGAGAAAGATTCCTTGTTTGTTAGTCTCTACGACATAACCAAAGATGAACTTTGAATCTTGAAACTTTAAGGAGATAAAACTACATAATAACGAAGAAATACACTTTTTTAAAGGTTCAAACATATTTGACCCCTGTGACCTTGAATGTCGGACAAGGTTATTCATATTTTCAAGCCTTATAATGTAACATCTGATGAACAATATGTTCCCAATATTAGTTCTCTAGACCTTGTGAAACTTGACAAGAAGATTGTTGAACATTGGTACCCTATTTTGTATATTTGAACTTTGACCCCTTTCGGAAACCGGAAGTTGACATTTTGAGGGAAGTTTTTCTTATGACAATCAATAGGAAGTGTCCACAGAAGGTTTATAATCAATATTCATCATTGTGTGCCTTCTAGAAGGTGAGACACTGTCATTTAACGATTCTTAGTTAATTGACCTCTGTGACCTTGAAAGTGGGTCAAGGTCATTTATATAATCAAACTTTGTTGCCAGTTACATATGCTTCATATATGTGAAATATAGAGCCTCTAGGCGTTTCAGAACTTGAGAAGAAGTTTTTCAAAGATTGGTACCCTTAATAGCACTTTTCAACTTTGACCCCCTACCGCAAACCGGAAGTTGAATATTGAGGTACG